TTAAATTAAGAAAATGCTCTGTTACCATAATTAATAGTAAAAAAAAAAAAAAAAAGAGAGAGATGGCTGATTGAGGGTCAGATGTTGGCCTAGTAGTTAACACTGCACTTTAGGCCCCTACATCCTGTATTGGAATGCCTGGGGTCCAGTCCCAGCTCTACTCTCAACTCCACCTCCCTGCTAATGTTCACACTGGGAGGCAACTGATGATGAGTCCAGTACTTGGGTCCTGCCACCCAAGTGGGAAACCTGGATGGGGTTCCCAGTTCCTGGCTTGGTCTCACCCCATACTGGCTGTTCTAGCCATTTGGGTCATTAACCAGCAGATGGGAGCTCGCTCACTCTCTCTGCCTCACAAATGAATATAAATAAATAAGTAGATGTTTTTGTAAATGCTCAGCTCAATTTAAAAGTAGCAAATTTGAAACACATAAAAGAACTTATTTTTCAACTGGATGAGGTAGACAGAGAATTCAGACCATGCAGAGCTATTGAGAGAAATACTGAGTCTAAATTTGCAAATGGAATGGATCATTGATCATTTTACGACTGTTAACAGAAAATTTGCAGCTCTATAAGCCCAGATTGTGATTTAAAGATAATAAAATCTCATGCTTCAGGGTATAAGTTAATCACCTGCAAGGACCAGGAAGAATTTTCCTTCCAGAAGTAACAATGCACAATTGAGTGGATACATAAATTTTGCTTAATTTCCAATGCATCAAGTATTGGTCAGGGCTGAAAACAAGAATCAAATTAGATGGACTATTAATTTGATTTGATTCAGCAACTCTTGTATTGTTAATTCTACTGAGTTTTATGTCTTGTGTTTATACTTTACTATTTTAAATAACAATTGCTTTGCCCATCATTCATTTTTATATCACACATCATCCCGGAATGGGGACACTTAAGCACTATGCAGTATTATCATCATTATACAAAGTAAATGGGATTGAAACTATCATAGATAACCCACAACTTGGTTAATAAGAAGTATCTTAAGCCTCACAGAGTTGTGCCCTTTGTACCTTTTGCATATGACACAAGAAGCCTCTATTGATAAGACCCAAGGGGTCTCAGTTGTCTCTACCTGACTTCTTTGCTTTGAGCAAACATATTTTAGGATCCACAGTCTGTAAGCAAATAAGAAGAGAACATGCTCAGAGAGGAAACAGCAGCAAAAACACATTTTTTTGTAAGATTCAATGGTTGATGTTCCACTGTATATACTCTGGTTAAATCATACTTATCAAGTGACAAACAAAAGGCAATTTTATTTACAGGTGGTTAATATTTTTAAAAGTAAAAATAAATTTGCATTATTTATTAGGTCTGGAAAAATAGTTCCATTTTCTGAGGGTATGTTTAGAGATATTCATATGCAGCGTAATTGGTTGCCAAATTGTAGCCTTGCTTTCATAATTTAATTGGAAGAAAATGATAGTGGGAGATATTAACCTTATGATTTCTCCACATTTCCACTTGATTAGATTATGAATTCTTTGCAATTTGGTGCTAAAATGAATTTATTCTACCTGTCTTCCAAAACTATAGAACATCTCTGTAATTACTACATGACCCACTGTGTTAGCCTGATTAATAATTAATTAGAAATAAAGCTAGAAGCAGATTTTTTAAAGTATTTTTTAATTTTAAAATTTATTTCAGAGGAAATGAGAACTGTTATCCATTGGTTCACTCCCCATATACCCACAAGGGCCAGGGATTTGCCAAGTCTGAAGTTGGGAGCCAGAAACTCAATTCAGGTGTCACACTTGAGAGGCAGAAAACCAATCACCTGGGCCATCACCACTGCCTGCCAAGGTCTGCATTAGCAGGATGCTGGAATCAGGAGCCAGAGTCAGGTATCCAATTCAGCTACTCTGATGTGGGATGCAGGTGGCCTAACCGCTAAGGCAAACACAAGGTTTTCCCAGTCTTAAATGGGTGGACCTTTACATAAAGACACAAATTCCCAAAGTCTGGGTAGAACACAGCAAGCTCCTCCACTGGTGCCATTCGCCCAAGAGCTAGTGAGGAATAAAGGGTAGAATACCTACCCAGGCTGTCATTTCTCATCACTTCAGGAAGGGTGTAGTTCATGCTGTGAGCAGAGCAGAGAGTGGGGAAGCTTGCTCTAATATTCCCTGGGTTTTCCAAGCCTTCCTATCCTCCCTTACTCCTTGGGAAGAGGAATGGCTTGTCTTCTCGAGAGGTCTCAGGAATGGTAACATGACCAAAGGGAGTATTGTTCAAGCTTAGCCATTGCCTCATTCAACAAGCATATGTTCATTCTCTGTGTACTTTGCAAGGTGCCAAATACACAGACTATGGAGTTTTAAGTCCTTGCCATAAAATATGATCCCTTCTTTGATGACTCATGACATCATCATGAAAAGAAAACACAAGGAGAGAGTAGTCTTATTGGAGAACATGCCATGCATATGCACAGGGCAGGACATGCTATCTTGCTTACCACGTTCAACAAATTTAGAAAGGAAAGAAAACTGTAACTTCCCAGAATTCTTCCAGCCTCTGTGATATAATAATGTGTTGTCTGAACTCTTATCTTTAGAGATCTTTTAATTTGAGTTTGCCAATAGTATTTATATTATTTTAAAATAGGTTTAGTAGCACTGATCTGTACATCCTTTGGTATGGAAATGATGAGACAAATAAATAGCTGGATGAAGAAAGTGTTTTGTGTATGATTACCCATGAGCAAAGAGAGACTTTATTTACTAGTTGGTAATAAAGTATCTCAAAATAGATAGCTATCTATTTATTTATGTAAATTTGTATGTCTATCTCTCTATACTTGTCCATCTACCTATCATATATCTATATGGCAGATCACATACTATTACTTAACAAGTAGAAGTCAAGGAAGTTGGATTCATTATTTATTTTGAACTTGACGTTTTTATTTCTGTGGCAAGTAGTCACCTTATTATCTAGTAATAAGGTACCTAAAAATAGAAAGTGAAAACACTTTTATAATTACGTGTATTTCATAGTTTTGACCATATGGAAAATGTGAATGATTTTTATTCTTTTTCACTTAAAAACAACTGTAAAGCAAAAAATAGAGATTCACCCATATATATATTAATTTTTATAGGTGTAATTTCTTTCTGGTGCTAAGTTGATACAGCCTACGACTAAACATGAAATCAAGCCTGCTGCCAGAGACTAAAAAAGAGAGAATACAAACACAATAAAATATTTTCCCAGATGACTTAAACATACACAATAAACACATAGTCTTGGCATATATGGAATGAATTTTGAATCCCATCAATTGCAGTTCATGTTATTCTGATATGAAAATAGTCACTGTTTACACAGCCTGTGTTGACCATTTCCTTGAATTGTTAAGTATTTTGCACATCAACAATAAGAATTTTAAAATGAAAGTGGAAAAAAAAAAGCCCCCTACTTAAAACTGCTTTTGTTTCATTTTAATTGAAAGCACTTCTTAGGACCTACAGTTAATGAAGCTTCTTTGGTCTCAAGCTTCCTCTCTTAGACTAGAGTCTAAACATGTGCTCATGTCTCCTGTCACCAATAGTGACATGGAGAGAAGTAACCTAATGAGGGTCCTCAGAGGGACCACCTCAGAGGATTCTGTGCGTACACCCGACTGTGCTCTGCATGGAGCATGCAGACTCTCACAAGACCCCAGGTTACCAGGACTTGGGATAGCTTAAGAGGTGTCAGGTGTGTCCTTTCTGCATCTCTGTACACGCTGCCCAGATGCCCCTGAGCCAGCATCATTGTTATTGTGGCTTTTGCTTCATTTCCCTATATTCCTGAGGACAAACGTGCTATGTCCCTGACAGTATGGTGGGCTTACGTGTGATTGTGGACCTGGCTGGTTTGAGCGGTACAGCATTGTTTGTGAAAAACCCACCTCCTAAGCATCTGAGTAGACAGCTGGTGGCGTGGACAAAGCAAGAGCATCTAGGGAAACCTCAGAGGCAGGGAGGACCCTGCAGTGCTGAGTGAACAAGCCACTTCCTTGGAATTGGCATCTAAGGGTGACATCAAGGTCACACAATTAGGGTATATATACAGCCTCAGGACCTGGCTTTGACAAAGTGACTTTGATTTCTAGAAGGACATTTTCATGTTTTTTCTCTGTAGTAGGTTTTACTTTTCACCATTTGTTGTATCCATTTCTTCCTTTCCACCAACATAGGAAGTAGGTTCATGCCCAAGAGGAAATGCCTCCAGATTAATTCTTGATTCTTTTCAGTTTCCACTGAAATGTCTAGTTTTTAAGTCAATTAAAAGGTTATTAGGAAACGACCAGATGAAGGTGTGGAAAAAAATTACAGTAAGATTATATTAATTTATGATAGTCTAAAATTTCTAAGAGAGATTATTTTTATCCACTTCATTAAGGGGGATCAATTCATCACTAACTTTTTTCAAAAATCAAGCTGAGTTCTATGGTTACTTGGAAAAATGTACCAATGCAGTTTTGTAGGACTTCGGAAAGGTATTTTAGGACTCTTTTCAACTGTTACCACTTCCATCAACGAGCTTTGTTTTCTTTGTGCAAATACCTAGGTCAATGCTCTTTGGAAGATAAAAAGGAGAAACACAAATGAAATATATAACCAATAGAGGAAGTCTATAACTGAATCATTTTCAAAGTGAACTACACTGGTATTCCCCATTAGGGCAATGAAGGCATCTGTCCTATCCCCTACCTTTTTGCCTTGGTTAGGATGATGAGAAAAGTCACCAAGATATAGTTTAGCTTTAGGCAAAAAAATAAAATGTGGTTGTAGATGATTTGAAAAGGAATAAGCTTGGTTTTCTGTAAGTCCTGCTATGAACATTAATATAGAAATTCTTAAAAAAGAAGAGTCAAGAACAGGAATGGAAGCTGGTTCACATGAGAGCTCTTGAGTAGACTTTCAAAGTGTCACCAGATCAACACTCCATGTGTCTGTCTCTTGACCCTGGCTTGTTTCTCCCTTCTGCAGAGCTACAGTGAACCTGTTGATGTGAAGACATCTCAACCTCCTCAGCTGATCAATTCAAAGCCTTCAGTGTTCCATGGGCCCAGCCAGGCCCACTCTGCTCTGTACCTAAGTTCCCACTATCACCAACAACCAGGAATGAATCCTCATCTAACCGCCATGCATCCAAGCCTCCCCAGGAGCATAGCACCCAAGCCGAATAACCAAATGCCAGTGACTGTCTCTATAGCAAACATGGCTGTGTCGCCCCCTCCTCCCCTCCAGATCAGCCCACCTCTCCACCAGCATCTCAACATGCAGCAACACCAGACACTCGCCATGCAGCAGCCCATTGGGAACCAGCTCCCCATGCAGGTCCAGTCTGCCTTACATTCACCTACCATGCAGCAAGTAAGTGCTACCGCTCTGCACCTAGACATGGCACCCCTCTGCTGAAGTGCTGGCTGGCTGGGTGGGAGTCTGTTCATCCAGCAAAGAATGGCAGGGGGGTGGGGATTTGTGTTTTCTGTTCCTCTGTTGAAATGGAGAGAGAAAATTGAAGATACTCAACAAATACCTGCATTCAGCAAGACACACTTGGCAAGTGGTGAGTTTGTGCAGCATGATGCCATCACCACTGTTGATAAATTCTTTTCAGAAAATTCTTTTCAGAATTGCTGGTTGATTCAGATGCTAACTATTTAGCTTCACCTTTCTTACCTCCTTTGTTCTTTTCTATGTCATAAGTAACCAACATTTGTCATTTTTAAGATGCCAAGTACTGCTACAGATATCATCGAAATAAAGAATTCTATAATTTAAAAAAATTGCTTATAAATGAGAAAGTTTGACTGGTATACCTGTTGAATCCAATAAATGCTACAACATGGAATCAGATCTCATACCAAATGTGGTGGAACCCTGAAAGACCAAAGAAGTGAACCTTTAAACCAGAGGTTTATTTAAAAATGGCTATCTGGCTACTGCATAAATTGGAAAACACAGGAGGTTTGGAAGCCTCCCTACTCACTCCCCGATTATTAAAACCATTTGTGGTCAATCTTAGCTTAACTTTTCTTTCAAATTAGATTTTTCCTTTTGGACTTTGGAATAATGTTAAAATTTGAAAACTGGGAGCAAATGATAAAGATTCTTAGAAAATGGAATTAGAAGACAAGTTTATTTTGGTGGAAATAAATTTTAAATCCATGCATATTTTTCATAATATGCATTTTTCATGAACTTTTTGAAGAATTTTCACATAAGCTAAATTGAACATAGAGTTCTCTAAAATTCTAAAATCTTGTTTAAAAAATAAGTGAAGGTAGGAGTGGGCACTTGGCACAACAGCTTAAGTTGCTGCTTGGGATGCCTGCTTCCCATACAGCATGCCTATTCTGAGTCCCGACTACTCCTCTTGTGATCCAGCTTCCTGCTAATATGTACTCTGGCAGACAGCTGGTGATGGCTCAAGTACTTGGGCCCCTGCCACCCATGTGGAAGACACAAATGGAGTTCCATGCTGTTGGCTTCAGCCCACCCCAGCCCTGACTGGGTTTCAGGCATTTGAGAAGTGAAGCAACAGGTGGAAGAGCTCTCTCTCTGCCTTTCAAGTAAAATGAAAATAAAGAAAGAAAGAAAAATTTCTATAAATGAGAGTTAAAACTACAAATTATATCAAGGTCAGTCTGTTAAGTCTTTTCAATACTATTATACTATCAATGTAATCCAATTATTCTGCTGTTCTCAGAGCTCTATGGAAGTATGGAAATACAGCCTTCTTATTTTATGTATAGTCCTCAGTAGAATCTGAGGCTATAGGTAAACTGGGCAAAGATAATGGGAAGGGAAGCAGAAAGAAGAATCAAATATGTAACATCCCAAATTCATCATGAATATTATTATAGAAAGACTTTCTAGAGCAGACAATAGCAAACCCAATGCCCTAATCCACTCTCACATCTTTAATTTTCTAAAAACTTAAGGATGCAGGCATTAGCAATGTCCTCATTTTACAGATGAGGAAACTAATGCTTAACAGAGTTAAGCATCACACCCCAAAGATTGGAGCTGGAATTCAAACTCAGATCTGTTTAGAAACCAGAGCCCAGAGTCTTCAAGATTAGGCTGGCTGCCTCTTGCTGCCAGTCATATTGTAACTTATTAGTTGTTCCATGTTAGAAAAGCTGTTTCCCCTCAGAACGGGGAGCTTCTTTAAACTCCAGTTAGTTCTAAAACCAAAGTTTTTATAGATAGCAAAGGAGCGCAGTTCCTTCCTGGAGTCTATCATGGCTCAAACCAAGGACATTGATAAAGTAATGGGGAGTTCCTTACCGGCTTGTTGACTCGCTAGGAAAGGAGACTACAGGTGAAGCCAACTTCCATCATCCGGCCTTGTTCATGGTGTGACTGAGTCATTCTCAGGGTCAAACGTCCACTCTTCTTATTAGACACAGCTCACAAGGAGGAAGACGCTCATGGGCGTCCTAACATTTTAACAAACCAATAGTGTTTGCATGAAGAATGAGCAATTGGGGGGACAGCACTTTCAGTTGGGTGGGTTGCTGAGGACGCTTGTGTCACCCACAGTGCAGCACAAGGTGCAGTCCGCTCAGTGAGCTGGGGCTGGAGCTCTGTCCTGATTCCTCCTCCAGGCAGAGTTCCATTGTCTACTTGTGCTACCACACCTTGGGTGAAGTGGCTGGTTCCTGAAGGGCTTTCAGATAGTTCCGAATTACATAAAATCACAGGTACAAATTCAAGAGATGTGTCTTTTCATACAGAGTCTTAACCAAGCAGCAAAAAAAAAAAAAAAAAAAAAAGATTCCACTGGGCAAGTTATTTATCAGTCATTAAGTCAGGTCTTTTCATGTATCTCAGAAATTCATTTTACTGAGCTGGTAGGACTGATTTCAATTTACATTAATAATATGAGTGTAACTTCTTCAAAAAGTTTATGGAAAAATATAAGCTTATTTTGGCACAAACAAAAATTGAAAACCCATGCATAAGTTGTTTTAATGATACACATTTCCTCAGCCTTGTGGCGCCGGCACACCGGGTTCTAGTCCCGGTCGGGGCGCCGGATTCTGTCCTGGTTGCTCCTCTTCCAGGCCAGCTCTCTGCTGTGGCCCGGGAGTGCAGTGGAGGATGGCCCAAGTCCTTGGGCCCTGCACCTGCATGGGAGACCAGGAGAAGCACCTGGCTCCTGGCTTCGGATCAACGCGGTGCACTGGCCACAGCGCACCAGCCATGGCGGCCACTGGAGGGTGAACCAACAGCAAAAGGAAGACCTTTCTCTCTGTCTCTCTCTCTCACTGTCCACTCTGCCTGTCCCAAAAAAAAAAAAAAGATACACATTTTCAGGAACATTTTCTTGCACTGAACTTATGTTTTAATTCTATTTCCCATGTACTTGTTAAAAGGTACTCTTGAGGAAGACAAGTAGTGTAAACCTGAAATAGAAGGAAAATAACTATAAAGATGACATTGACTAAAATCACCTGGAACAATGCCTTGATGATGTCAGGTAGTCAATAAAAAATTGCTGAGTAATGAACCAATTAAAAACAAATAAGCAGTGTAAGTATTAAACTGTTAGAAGGAATCACAGATTAAATTGTAGAACCCCAATTCCTTGAAAGTTTTTAAAAAGTGATTGATTCAAAAAACATTGAGTCCCTTCTGTGTGCCAGGCAGCCACTCTCCAGGCTCTGGAAATTAAGTGACAAATGAAAACAGGTAATGAGCTTCCTACGCTTTTGTCATTGAGGAGTGGGGTGACAAGAGGATAAACAAGTGAAGATGTTGTGAAAAAAAAATGAACAGGGAGACAGACGGTAAGGGGCATGGATGAAGTGCAGAGTCTTGAGCTGGAATAGACAAGGAGGCTCCTCTGAAGAGCTGGCACAAAGCCAGGAAGGATGGAAAGCAGGGAGGAGAGAGGGGACAGAGGCTCTGGGCTGGGAAAACCAAAGGGAAGAGTGTGGCTTGCTCAGGAGATGGGCAGGAGGGGAACAGGTGAACGAAGGGGCAGTGGTGGGCAACAAGGACAGACTTGGGCAGGTAATTAAAGGACAGACTTGTAGGCTAAAGGGAATGGCAGCCCCAGTAAGTGGATGATCCTAAAATCAGGACCAAGGAGTCCATCACCCCAGGATGTCACTTAATTTACTGCAATCACAACAGTCCATGGGGGCCAACATTCAAGTCATTAGTGAATTTTTAGCCTGTAGATTTAGGCTCAAGTGGTGAGTAAAATTTGATCTGATTCATCATCCAAACCACTTTTTCCCACAGATGTTTGCTTCCTTGTGTGGGGGCCATGCTCACATCCTCCAACACCAGAAAAGAAAAAAAAAAGAGAGAGAGAGAGAAGAAAGTTAATGGTTACCATATTTTTAAAAGAATGTCTCATATTTCAGTATTATTTTAGCAATTTTATTGGCTTTTGGAAAAATGAATGTATCTTACAAAAATGATTGGATAATTCACCAGGAATAATAGTTTCATTTTTTTCTAGAATATTTTATACACTGAACCCATGGACCTGCATTTTTTAATCCAGTTTTCTTTCTTTTTCCTGCTCACTGTATTGTCGAATGAGGTCAAGAGAAAAAAAATCATTAATATCTGTCAACTTCCTTTATAACCTTAAGGAAAAAAATCTTTGTATGATATCACACAGACAGATTTTCAATTTCCGTGTGTAATAAACAGCTGCTTTAGGATTTGGGTGTAATTTAAGGGTTTAAAAAAATCACATTGAGATTGATGAATAAATCAGTCGTGAAGACAAAAACATTGATGCCTGTTGAAAACACCTCTCCAGACAGGCAGGAAATGAAATTAGTTCCCAGTAAAGTGTGGATATGAAGATCACTGGTTGGCTGTGCTGCAGGCTTTTTCGGACTTGCTATGGTGGCAAAACAAAACTGCTAGGGCTACAGAAATCTAATTAAAGAGCAAATGTCCCTTCTGACATCAAATTAATCTTTATCATGTTTCCTATTTTTATTTCAATCTGGCACCAGAAAATGAAATTTAAAATTCCAGGCATGCTACAAAACAGTTGGTGATTTTTCTCCTGAGCATTAAAATGCTAAATATTCAGTCTTGTTTAATTAGACTGCTAAGCAAACATTTTTCAAAAAAAAAAAATAGAGTATATCATCATTGTTGTTCCATGTTTACATCAATAATAAAAATGTACTTAGCCCCACGTCTGACCTCAGCATCTCTTTATGTAGTGTTAGAGGAATGTCTCATTTTCTAAATTGAAAGCAAGTGGGATAATGTGAAATAATGCTCCTTCAGGCTCTGCTTGCTTTGCTTGTATATTTTTTGGTCTTGGACTTTGGTTGTTTAATATTGGTGATCCTCAGAAATTTTGCTGCATTTTTGAACTTTGCCCTTTGCAGATAGCACAGTAATTTTGATTTTATAAACTGAAGTCACTCGTTTTATCTTAAACTGATATTCTCCTACCCAACCCAAGAAACTAGCTTTATTGAATGGAAAAAGACAATGATGGTTTCTGCTTATTTGTGTTGGGGGTGTGAATTCTTTTTTTACTGGTAGAGGTTCTATTTCACTTATTTGTTTTTGTGTCTTCATGTGTTTCCATGCCTTCAGTTAAGTCCAGATATTTTGACTACTCTTTTTCTTGAGACTGGCTTACTTTCAGGTTACACTTTGTTGATTGTGCAAAAATTCAATATGGAGAACTTTACAATAACAGCATAGAAACAACCCCTGGCATTTACACATTTCTGCACCCTGTGTCTTTCCACCAGTAGCATCGACTACACTGTTTTAAGCTTTATTTATTGAAAAACATGATTTATTGAGCTACTACTGCAGACGAAGCCCTGAGAATGTCCATTATGCACTTCAAACGCTGGGACCTCAGCCCTAACAAGGGACAGGCTCTGAGCTAAGACAGTCAACACGAGGCTCCTGCCTCCAGGAGTTTTCTGTTCCCTCTCCCAGCCTCACTCTAGACACTGGGAGAAAAGTGGAGGGAGCCAGCCTCTTCAGAGGACACAGTGAAATGAAGACATGTCCCTGAAGCTGGTGGGACTCCTGGTGAACACCCACACTGCAGTTCCACCTCCAACTTTCACCTTCCCACTTGGAAGAAGACATTTAGGGGCCGGTGCCCGCGGCTCAATAGGCTAATGCTCTGCCTGTGGTGCCGGCACACCAGGTTCTAGTCCTAGTCAGGGCTCCAGATTCTGTCCTGGTTGCCCCTCTTCCAGTCCAGCTCTCTGCTGTGGCCCTGGAGTGCAGTGGAGGATGGCCCAGGTCCTTGGGCCCTGCACCCGCATGGGAGACCAGGAGAAGCTCCTGGCTCCTGGCTTCCAATCGGCGCAGTGCACCAGCCACAGCGGCCATTGAGGGGTGAACCAATGGAAAAGGAAGACCTTTCTTTCTGTCTCTCTCTCTCACTGTCCACTCTGCCTGTCAAAAAAAAAAAAAAAAAAAAAAAAGAAGACATTTAGGGCTTGAGCGGCACGTGGTGTCTGCACAGACCCAATCCTCACAAGCTAGCTCTTCATTTAGGAAATGTTCTATTCCTGTTCATCTGTGCGAGGTCAAATAACCAATCAGGCTCAGAGCTCTCCTTTTCAATGATTTGCTTCCAAACAGAGTTTTTCCTTTCCTCACAGCTTGGGTGGCAGTGTGTGTGACATTGTCTTGGAGCCCTTATCACTGAATGGAAAAGGAATTAGTATCTTAAAGCCAACATTGAGACCTGAGGACATTGGACAGTTGATATCTTTGAGTCTTTACAAGGGGACCCCAAAACAGGCATCAGAGTTTGAGGAAATCTCTTCAGTTACAAAAGTCAACTCTCTGATCAGGCAGCCTAGTTTTCAAAAAGTCAAACTCAGCACTATCATGCCTTCAAAAGCTAGGTCAAGAGAGAAGGGTCCATTTTGAAATCTCGATTTCTCAGTGGTTCACACCCATGGATAGGCTCTGCGGCAGTCAGCCATGAGACTAATTAAGTTGCCTTTTAGGTCATTTCCGGCAAAGCCTGCTTATGCTGCTCTTAAATTCACTAAATAAGCTAAAAATAAATCTTAACATAGAATGCTTTTTGTTTAGCAGATACAGCTATGTACTTCTGAGATTTTTGTCCTTGAATTTTTAATCACTTTGCTAGGAGTAAAAGTCAACACTTCATCAGACTAGTGAGTTAAAAGAATCTTCCTGGAGTCTGATTCTTGTTTGTCAGTTAATAGACTTTTCAATTAAAAAATATTTGCTCTTACACTCCCCTCCCTTCACCGGTGCCTTCTAAGGGTGAGCTCTTTTGCGGCTCTTCCCTGATAGTAGTCCAACAACTGTTACAAAGCTTTGGTTGAAATTTTTTAGCTGGGAGAGAAATACAAATAAAAGAAGAAGCAGATGGCCCCTTTGTGACTGAATGAAGAAAGAGGGTTTTGAGAACAATATGTGAATAGGTGTAGTCTAATAAAACACTCAGCCACCTGCTGCCTGGATCCTTCAAAAATAGATTCTGTTGCATATTCTGCAGCTTAACCATTAATACTTACCTAGACTTCAGCGAAAACATACACTTGGAGCTCGTGGGGCCCTCTTGTCTCTTTGTTCTGATTGAGTTGGCTTCTCTATCTTCGACACTGTTTCTCAATTCACTTTAAATGCTCAAGAGTATAATGAAAGGTTTTCGGACACACGGTGAAACGGAGGAAAGGTAAGAGGAGTCGGGTGGAAGGCGATCCTTGGCTACCCTGACGCTTTCTTGGCCCTTGGTGTAGACTTGTCCTCGCAGAGACAGAAGCCAACAAGGCCCCGTGTATTGGCAGAGAAGGAGTGGGTAAACATTTAGGTGGTGGAGTTCTTCGAAGGGCACTGCGATTCTGATGTGTGGACTCGTGTTTCCTTTCAGGGATTTACTCTTCAGCCTGACTATCAGACGATTATCAATCCCACTTCCACCGCCGCACAAGTTGTCACCCAAGCAATGGAATACGTGCGTTCGGGGTGCAGAAACCCTGCGCCGCAGCCGGTGGACTGGAATAGCGACTACTGCAGTAGTGGGTAAGCGGCCGGCCATCGCCACCTGGTGGTGCTCCTCACACATAGCATGCTTGTCCTCCTCGGCTCCCTAGATCTCTCTCCTTCCGGCTTTGGAAAACGTGATCCGGGATAGTTCCAAGCCCTTGGAAGGGCAAGACACCTCAGAACGTTGAGGCCATCCTTCTGCCCTTCCTAGAACGCGAACAGCAGATGATAATCTGCAGTACTTGCAGGTTAACTTGTGGCCCCTTCTCGAGCCACAACACATCCACCATCCCTCAGGCTACAACAAATCCTTGCAAGTCACCCACCCGCCATTGTCACCCACGGCACCGGTTGTCTGGTAACCGCTGTCTGCTTTCTCTCCATCCAGGGGCATGCAGAGGGACAAAGCACTGTACCTTACCTGAAAATCTGGACACCTCTCCTTTCCGCTGAGAATTCAGGGAAGTGGCTCCACCCGTGGATTGCTTTGTGCAATCAAGGCCGTTCTCCATTTTGTTAGAAAATGCAAGTTGCTAAGCACTTAGGACCATTTGAGCTTGTGGGTCACCCACTCTGGAAGAAATAGTCATGCTTCTTTATTATTTTTTTAATCTTTGATGGACATTGTTTTTCTTCTTCCCTGAAGAAAATTTGGACCATTCAGATTTTATGGGTTTTTTTTTTTTTCTTTTTTTTTTTTTCTTTTTTTTTTTGCTGTGAAGTGCTACGCTCTAGTAACTGCCTTAGCAACTGTAGATGTCTCGGATAAAAGTCCTGGATTTTCCATTGGTTTTCATAATGGGTGTTTATATGAAACTACTAAAGACTTTTTAAATGGCTTGATGTAGCAGTCATAGCAAGTTTGTAAATAGCATCTATGTTACACTCTCCTAGAGTATAAAATGTGAATGTTTTTGTAGCTAAATTGTAATTTGAAACTGGCTCATTCCAGTTTATTGGTTTCACAATAGGGGTTAAATTGGCAAACATTCATATTTTTACTTCATTTTTAAAAACAACTAATAGTTCTATATTTTCAAAATATTTGAAAAAAAGGTATTCCCAAATGATTTTAATTTAAAAGCAAATTGGCATTGTCTCATTGATCAGACAAAAAGAAGTTAGTGTTAAGGGAAGCGCAAACACATTTATTTTGTACTGCAGAAAAAAAATGCTTTTTTGTATCACTTTTTGTGTAATGGTTAGTAAATGTCATTTAAGTCCTTTTATGTATAAAACTGCCAAATGCTTACCTGATATTTTATTAGATGCAGAAACAGATTGGAAACAGCTAAATTATAACCTTTACATGTGGCTCTGTGTTATGGTTTCTTCATACTGTGTCTGTATTTAATCTTTTTTTATGGAATCTGTTGCGCCTATTTATGAAATAATAAATATAGGTGTTTGTAAGTAAATTTGTTAGTATTTGAAAGAGGTTTCTTTGATGTTTTAACTTTTGCTGGCAAAAAAAAAAATTCACGCTTGGTGTGAATACTTTATTATTTAGTTTTTAACAGTGACATGAATAAAGCCAAGCCTGCTTTTCATTTAGCAGCAAATTAAAGTACCCAGTCCTTATTTCTGCATTTCCTTGGTTGATACAAATGAAAAACTATTACATTCTAAAACTGTTCTTACGCTATAGCAGATCATTGTCCCCAAGGTCACACAAGCTCCAAGACTAAACAGACAGGTCCTCCAACTGAAAAGGGTTGCTTTTTAGATCTCAGCTGGTTTTAGTCAATTCTGAAAATCAGTCCCCATGCCCCAGAATTATTGTCGAATCAAAGAAAATTCCTCAAGCTGCATGCTTTTTCACAAAATCCAGAAAATATTTAAGCACTGAGCCAGGGGTGGGAGGACACGAAAGGGAAGCAGTATGTCAAGAAAACATCTACACTGAAAGGTGAGTAACCAGACAGCCCGAGAGAACCAACGGGAAAGCCTTCCACAGCTGATAGCATTTTAGATTGTTGCTGTCTTTTGTGCCTCTACAAATCACTTCTCTTTCCAGAATTCCTGGGTTTTCCGAGAGAATTCTGAGGGCCCAAGAGATTTGCTGGGACCCAAAAGCATAAAGACTCTAGCTGAGAGTTGCAAAGTTTTTACATCGAAAAAAGAGCTAGGAGTTTATCCCTTCCCGGAGATTGTAATGAGTAAACCAATCTGATTGGGAATCAAGAATGGCTGACGTCTCTTTCATGGAATGTACGACATAAATTTAGCAATTTAACTAAATACAAATAAATGCATTGTGTAATCCCTTCAGAATTAACAAGACAAAAGGTATGCTTGCTTTGGAATGATTTTAGGCATTGTACAACCTTGAATCACTTGAGCATGTAATAACTAATAAATAATGCAGATCCAATGTGATTATTAAAATGACTGTAGCTGAGAGCGCTAATTTTCCTGTCTTGAAACTGTATAAGAACTCATGTGATTAAGTTCACAGTTTATTGTTTGTCTATTTAGTATTTTAGAAATATACCAGCACTACTAATTCACTAATGTCTTTTATTTATTATATTATGATCAAGTAAAATTTTTGCTTGCAGTAAGTCGAAACTGAGAAGGCAATTACCAGGATGAGAACAAACAGCTTTGACCTTGACAGACGGTTTGTACAGCAAAGTACTATGTTGTTTACAGCTTTTCCAGAGCAGGTGTGCAACCAGGGTAGAAAGAGTGTTGAAATTCAATACCAAATACAGTAGAAACAAATGTAAATAAAAGAAAATGCATCGTCAATAAAAAAAACTCTTACCATGCGTGACCGTATTCTATTTGGTGCTCTCTGAAAACCAGTCCTGTCAGATGAGAAATCTGAAATACAAGATGTGGCAGAAATGATTGGGTGCAGTTGTGATAAGTGGCTGCTGTGGCCAGAGTTCATTCCTGAAACTCTGAGGATGCCTCTCACCAACCTGAGGCTCTAGGATGGTGAGCTGTTACCTAAGAAACTAATCATCTTAAAGGAAGCCAGAATCCAGATGGGTTACATAGCTTACAGCCTGGCACGCAAAGAACAGTGGCAGCACCAAGGTTTAAGCTAGAGTACTCCAAAGGATTCCTGGACCTCTAGCAAAGTCACCCTGAGAGTTTTGGCAATCAAATACCCTCATCAACACACTCAAATACGAATCATAGCTGCTTAGGAGTAAGTATTTGGCCTAACAGTAAAGATACACACACTCCACATATCAGGTTGCATTCCCAGCTCTGGCTCCTGATGCCAGCATCCTTCTAATGCAGATCCCAGGAGGCACAGTAATGACTCACATAATTGGGTTCCTGCCACCCTCTTGGGAGAGCTGAACTGAATTCTGTCTCCCAACTTCGGCCCTGGCCCAGCCGTAGCATGGCAGCTGTTTAGGGGCTAAATCAGTAGATGGAAGCTCTCTCTCCCTCTCCTCTCTGCCTGTCACTCTGCCTCTACTGGTTTTAAAATTATAGCTAACTAGAAGAAGTAACAAGCCTGACAGCGGGTAGGAATGGCCTGATTTGTGTCTCCACCATTGATTGTTAGTGGTCAACTAAGGATGAAGTTGATCTCTGTGATGATTTTTTTCTGTTGCCTTAAAGACAAAGAGCCCCCCCCTGCACTGAACATGAGTGTTCCACAGAGAGTCATGACTACCCAAAACAGGGTCATTGTTCAAGGTCGTTATTAAGAAATTTTTGTAACTTATGAATGCAGAATTTTAAATCAGCATAGCAACAGCCAATCTCCTTTTCCTATGAAATTCCTTTTGCAAAAGAGTGGACCGACTTATTGGGGAGGCAGTTGGATTGAACCATATTAAATTACCAATATTTGACTCACCTTCAAAAATGGTTTTTTCAGGTGACTCTACCAGAAGCTTTGCAACCTATAGACAATGGGATTTGGTTTACAACTCCAAATATTATTTCCAGTGGAATCAGAAGTACTTTACAAAGTCCGAAGGGAAAATACTTAAAGAAATAATGCTATGTTCGTTTACACAGTACCCCCACTAAAAGTCGATCTGAGATAGTTACATTCTAGTAGCAGCACTTTAAATTATCAAATTCCAGTAAATGTCAGTTACCACTCTTAATTTTGTTATAGTAAAAATTCTCTGTGGAAATTTGTGATAAATAGGTTGTTGGGAAAAGAACATATTTGTTACACAGACATTGTCATGATGCGTATTTGTTTAGTAGAGATTTGACCCACACTTTTTTATCCTACTCATAACACTCATTTTAGAGTAAGAACAGAAACACAGAGACACAGCATCTCTTTTACTGATGATTGAGCATTGAAATAGTGGCAAGGCAAGTATGAAATTCATATCCCGAGTTTAAACCCTAAATATCTGTTATACTGGGTCACTCTTGATGTGTGAATTTATGTGAGTCACCCCACGGTGCAAATTTTTGTTTGTTTCCCTGCCTGAAATTGAATAAATTCCCTTATCTCCAAAACAACTTGGAATGTCACAGCACATAGTTGGTGCAAAATAAATGCAAGAAGATCAGTGAAACACCATAGGATCTTCTCCACAGGAATTGGGTGACGTTTTCTTGATGATTTAAAAGCTCTTGACTCCTTGACTCCTACAAGAGAATTAAATATTGCAAGCAAGCATCAGGACATGAAGAGGATGGAAATGTTTCATTAAGAAACTTAAGATCACAGAACGATTGCAAGAATTTCAAAATGAGTTGGACCATATTTTTTTGGCCTACATAACTGAACAAGAACTTTTCTGGTTGTGACAAAAGTAAATGATATGCACATCAAGAAAATAAGAAGCAAGAGAGGGAAAAAAATGTGCCAGATAAGCAGGAGTGTTCAATGCAAGATAATTTTTTGTGAAACAAGTTTTATGGAACACTAATTAACAGGATACTGATTTTTTTCCTAATTATCAAGTGTTGGTATGACTCAGTAAAGCTAGGAAAATACTGCATTTCCTAGGCTGAACCTGAATTACCCCAAAATAAGAAATGATTCTATGGAATTTTTTTTAACTCTCAGAGTAGACCTCCCTACTTGTTTGGAACTATTTCCCAGTGTGGAAGAACATTTCTTAATAAAAAAGCTTCCAAATCCTTACCCAGCCTATTGCCTGGAGAAAGAGGATGGAATGTCTCCGACTTCAGGCTTACACAAACATCTCATCATTCGTTTCCAGCACCAGATCGCACTGTAGACGAGGAGAAGGAGTGAAGATGAAGTTCTTGCTACTGGGTGGGAGACAACCGAGAACAAGGCTGTGTTATATTTTCAGCACAGAGTTGCACCTAATTAAAGAAGCCTACCAGCATGAATCATTTCAGATTGTATTAACAGCTTGCTAGCAAAGACATTGGAAAGTGAAATTTCATTCACACCAACGTGAGGCCAGGAAAAGAAGAAGAAACAAAGAAAAAGAAAAGGAGAAAAAAAGCAAGCAACCAGGAAATCAAATGGAAAGACTTACAATTCTACAGAGACAACTAAAATACCATTGTAGAGAAAGATGACGAACCAACCAACTACGTACAGGATTTTAAAATCTGGATTGTCCCTGTTCGACAATTGTGTGTTTACAATGAGCCCAGACATAATTGCTCTGATGGGCTGTCAGGGAAAAGATTAATTTGGCAAAGATTAGTATTGACTTGCTGTTTATTAAGGCTTTTAAACAGCTGTATCTGGCAGCATTCCTGTAAGTGGCTGTCATATCTGAAAATCAGCCCCACACCCTGGTGCTCGCCAGCTGTTACTGAACAATCTTCTACCACTTTGAATATCTTTCTCCAGGCCAAACAGCAAGAGCAAACTATTGCCAAATGCGCTTTTTTTTTTTCTCCTCTTGTCACTTTTTTTGGGAGGGAGTGGGGGTAGGAGTGGGGAGTTTCTAAGTGCTGAAATGTCAGCTCGTGGCTGATGGCTTAGCTGATAAGAGGCACCGGAAGTCAGCAAGTGGTTTTGGGTGCTGGGTGAACACATTCTCCACATAGCGGTAGTGCTGTTAGTCACCTCGCACCGACAAAAACCACAGCTTGCAACTGTTGAGGCCAATGGTTTTAAAGACTGTTAGAAAGTGGTGATCAAAGGTTTATAGCCAACAGAATTCCAAAAGGTTTTGTGTCTTCTGACACGGCACATGTCTTACCCATCATGGCACTGGACAAAGACCCCACAGTGAAAGGGTGAGATGTTCAGGAGTGGCCATTGACCTTGAGCCCGGGAACCAGGGGCTTCTCCTAAGAACTTGGAGGAAGGACGAGCCACTTGGTAAAAGAAATACCCCACTTGGTGATTCAGTGGAAACTGGTAGAATAAAACAGGTATGGATGTTTTGATGTCGTAAAAGAAAGGGTGGATTGAGTTTTGTGCTGGAATAAGACCCAGTAGTTTCAAATCCAAGTCCAGTCATAAAAGCAATGGAAAGAACAACATTCCAATGTGGTAAAACGTCAGACTACAAAGGGCCCAGTGTGTGGTGAAAGTCACTGTAGCCTTTCCAGTCTGAGTGCTTTTGGGGGGCTCAATCTCAACCTCAAAACATCAGAACAAGTGCAAAAGGACACTGTCATCTCTTAGCCCTTCCTCTGCGGGCACTTTCCATTACCCTCTGGGTGTGTGGGGAAGGGAGCTCACCTAGGAGCTGATCTTTCTAGAAGGACATTGCAAACTGATATTTGACAAAATATAATATGCAAATAACTGTTGATGCAATCTGATGCTTGACATTTGAATTGAGCTCAAATTCAGCCAGATTTCAAGGTATAGCCAGGTAAACCCACCAGCGAAGGCATGTCTTTCTGCCAAGGACACCAGACAGCTGTATGTCCCTAGTTCTCTCCACATAAACTGATGGGAGTGGGGGTGGTTGGCTGAGAAATTATGCTAACTCAGCACTTACTGTCAGAGAATTGAAGAGACTGTACATTGAGAACAGAAGATAAGATGTGTGTTTGCCTGAGCCTTGCTCTACTAAAGCCAAGGCTATGGACAGAAGAAAATGTAGAGCACAGAATCCACTTAACCCTTTAATCTGTGATTGTAAAAGCCACATAGTGTTCTAAACTCTAAATCAGCTCTGGATTTAGGAGCACTGTGGCCAGTTTCTATGGCAAGAGCTACGTCTGCAGAGACCTGCCAGCTCTGCGAATTTAGGTCAAGTATTGAACTTGTACACTCTTATTTGAAGAAATTTACCCTCTTACTTGGTCAAAGAGTACTAGAACCTATACCAACGCAACAGTTTGACTGCTGGATTCAAGGCACAGGATTGCCAATCAAATTAGGTTAAGAGAATACAGCATTAACCTTTCGTTCAAAAAAATTCATAGTACTTCTAATAGAAACCGAGAAAGACCAGAGTGGGCCAGCATTGGGGCACAGCCGATTAAGCCACTGCCTGCAATTGGAGGATCCCACAGGAGTACCATTGGAGTCCTGGTTGCTGTACTTCCAATCCAGCTCTCTGCTAATACACCTGAGAAGGCAGTCCTTGCAACCTATGTGGAAAATCTGGATGGATTT